TGGGTAGAGTGTGAGTGAGTGGCTTCTGGAAAAAAAAAAAAATCATTTGAGTCTTACGGAAGCCATGGAGGATTCAGAGGAAACTGCAGAAGGGAGGAATAGCAGCTGTCCTGACCRGGTTCCTTTCCAAAGATTTTCAGTTGGTTGCAGCTTTGCCACATCGGTGGAACTCCTTGTGCTGTGCACTTATCTGCTAAACTTCAGGTTCAGCCCTTTCTTTGAAGGACACTTTGACACTGCTGTAAAAAGCCGATGTTTTTGTCACAATGTGAAGTCTGACAGTATATCCATCATATGAATTCCCTCTCCACATGTCTTTGTACACCCTAGTTAATGTGAACATTAAATTACACAAAAAAAAAGAGCATTTTTCACCTATGCAGATGAGCCTTGGCAACACTTACATAAATTGGACTGGTTATTCCTTTCCTACTAGATAAACTTTAGCCCTGAGCAGAGGAGGAGTGTTGCTGCAACAGCATCTGGGGCTGATGTACAATTTCAGCTTTCTGGTGCTGGACAGAAAGGARAGACGCAGCCTCCCTTGTTCCTGAAATCTACCTCTGCTGTACACAAAKAGGATGGTGTCAGAACTTCCCAAAGAAAATGGAGAGGGGCCGGAAATCAGACATGGGGAGTGTGGAAAAAATAGGAATGCATGGTCTGAAACAGGAGATGGGAGCTGGGATGAGRGAAAACCCTTGTCTTTTCTAGGATGCAGGACTCTGTTATGTCCAACATCTTTTCTGCAGCAACTCTTCTCCCTTCCCAACAGCTGRCTGCAAGCAAGCACCCCAGGTAAGGAGATGGGCGAACTACAGCAAGAGAACCTTCCTCTTATCAGCAAGCATTTTGGTCCCACTGTCCCAGCCAATATTTTCTTCTCCAGGTGGGTTTCCATGAATGCACAAGGCTGGGGGAAGAGGTGGGAGAGGGTCCCATGGCACACTGCAGGTATGTGAATGATCCCATCTCCTGGGCTGACAGGATTTCCTCGGCCTTCTACCCATGGCTGTTCTGGCTCTTCCTTGCTTTGTCCGTGTTCAGTACSTCAGTGCCAAGACGGACAATTTGCCTCCTCTGTCTCCAACACTCTACTTCCTCAGAACTTTCCTGCCCCCTGTAACTCATCATCACCCACAGCATGAGCTAGYGGGGKGTGGCACATGTGCGCCATTTACTGYTACARTTTTARTGGTGCTGGGATAACTGTTCCCCTATTCATTTCCAGGTCTTTGGGGAAGGGACAAAGAAGAAAATGTTGCAGAGGGGACTGGGTCTTGACACCAGGGAGCCAGGGTCTGTCTGGGAAGACTGGGCTGGAGACTGAAACCTGAGTCCTGAATGTGGATGCTGCCTTGGGCATCTCTGTCATGACTGCCCCGGTGGTTTAAGTTGGATTATTTCCCTTATGCATAAATGAATTCCTAATCATTGTTTTTTTTTTTTCTGAATTGTTTGCAATGAGGCACTGCAGTCTCGACTTTAGACCAGCGTTTTCCACAAGCAGTTGCAGCTTTACCTTGAATTTTTATATCATGCATAATACTTGAAACGTTGAAATACAGTCAAGGAGATCTAGTACTCAAGAGTGAATGGGTGCTTTTGTCTTTAGTCCAGGGTGCCTTGGTGCCTGGACTATTTCATGGAGAAAYGTCACTCCCTTGTTTCACAAGAGAAACTAAAGTTTGTGGAGTCCTTGGATACCTCAGTGAAGAGCACTATGGAAACTCACTGAGTAAACTGGAYCTTTCTAGATCAGGGCTTTAACAGAGTGGAAATAATAAATAGATCATGGCCCAAACAGCTGCCATTGTTCACAGGTGGTGACCAATTCTTGCTCTTGAYGRCTATGACAGAGGTGAGGTGARGGATGCAGGTCTGGATCYGTGTGTTTGYAGGAGCTGAAATSAAGCATACAGCAGGTTCAAAACTAYGAAAGAAAYACMTGCTATAAATCAACAGCACCAGCYYTCATRTTTCCCCTCCAAATTAGTCCCARGTATACAGGATATCTYGGGTTATTCTGTGCCTAACCAGTGTTTCCCTCATACTCACCTGTTTCTGACAGACACCCCAGAGCATCCCAGCAGCAAAGGTGCTGAAGCTGTGCCAGGACCAGGGCTTCCCAGRTCATTGCTCCACTGTCAGTGGTGAGGGCTTTGGCACCTCAGTTTGAAGGCTGCTGATTGAAGGTCGGAGCTTTTAAGGTGCTGCAAACTCAAGTACAGCAAAGCCCTYTAGCACTTGATGAACTTTGGGAATATAAATGAAGTCCAGAAGATTAATGCTGTGCTTAAAGGCTTTGCAGCATCAATCCCAGAGGTGACTAACTGTAGACAACAGGGTCTGTTTCTCAGGAATTTCCCTGGATCAGTATGACTGTCTAGGAAGAGTTCTTGAGAGAGAGAGAGGATTCTTGCTTGAGTTGCTCCTTCAGTGCAATGTTCAGACTTCAGTGGCCGGCAGTATTTGCTAGTTCCCAATGGCCATCCTTTATTTCTACCTTGCTCTGGACTGGAAAGGGATTGTAATTCCACACATGGATATCCATATGGAATATGGGCTCTCTCACATGGGTCTTTGCTTTAGTGTGATGGCCTCAAGACTTTTTGTCAAAACATGAGGCATAGTTTACACCATTGCATTGCCTGATAGATCAGGGTGTCATCTGCTCCCTATATGAGCATGCAGCTCAGAGTGATGGCTAAAGTGTTTTCAACCAGTTTTCAACCTGTTTCAATCCAGGTTTCAAGACCTGGATTACCTTAGGAGATAAAAAAATTTGCTATAAGAAAAAGGTGTTTACATATATTAAGCATTTTTAGACATTTTGATGACAAAGAAAGACACCGCTCCTCCTTTCTTTTCATCCTCCCTTTCTTAGGTGTTCAGGATCTGTTAATAAAGTCCTTCTTTTTAAAAAAAAATTAAATTTGAATGATCTGGTATTTATCAAAATAATCTACAAATATTCAATTTTATTTTCAGAGCTTTTTGAACAGTTTCTTTCTTTCTTTTCATCCTTCCTCCCCCACTCCCCCAACCCAATGCAGATGATGCTGTACCTGGTGGCATTCTGTCCCCTCCAAGGGAACCACCTGGTTTACTGGAGGAGAAAGCTCAGGTGTGCACCAGTGTGTATGCAGGGTGTAAAACCAGGGCAGTGCAGCCCTGACGCAGAGCAGGGAGATGGATCACTTTGGATACACCACAATACTCAGTTTCAGGGGGTGGAACAGACTTATTGCTGTGGCTAAGGCTAAGTTTCCTGAGAACTTTTCCCAATGAATTTTCAGAATAAGTTGCTGGAGTGACATCACTTCACATGTGAAGTGATCTTTAGTTGAAGATTTGCTGTGGGTGTAAATTGGCATTAGGTCTCTGGCTGTCAATAAATCTGAACTACAGGAGGGTCTGTCTCTCCATTGTTTTGTGKTTTTTTTCTGTTAATTTGCAATTGGAATCAATAGTAAGGAAATGTCAAATGCCTGATAGTTCTGTAAAACCACATATTGAGCTATGTCCCACAGGAGACTATTCTAGGTCTGAAATTACTTGATATTTTTATTTTTATTGCACAGTAGAATACAGAATTTACTTATTAAATTTAGATGTCACCAGCCTGGGAGACGAAGACACTGGAGGATGTGGATAGAATTCAAAATAAGCACAGGTGCAAAGTATTGCACTAACATGAGGACAGTTGCTTTCAAAGAGAGTTGAGAGTGCAGTTCTACAGGAAGAGAGGTTCAAGTACCACCCTTGTGAATATTTTTACTAAATTAATGATTAGAAAACTTTCACCTTTCAACTATCATGCTGCAGTGGCAAGATCCGTGTTGAAATATTGTTCAAACCAGAGTTTGACCAACAGAGCACAGTCCAGAAGAGATCAACAAAAATGATGAGAGCTGTARAAAGCAGTGTGGGCAGGATTAGACCTTCAGAAAGAGCCAAGTATCAGTACCAAGTGAGACAATGCCTTGGTTTCTGTCCTTGTCCCTGGGAAGTGTGTGGTGTCCTGCATCCTGGGCAGAAATGGATGGAGTTGTCTGCTCTGGCTTTATCTGCAGGTCCCAGGTGTTCTCTCCACAGCTTCCCTCTGCTTCTTCCCACACACCTGGACTGCAGCCACATAGCACTTTTCTCTATCCCCAGCTGCCATTGTAAATTCTGCTTGAGCAGATACTCCTACTTTTTTTGCTACTATTTTCTGCTCCTTATTTGTGAACCTCCTTTCCTGCTAATTCTGGCCCCTAATACAGCTGCGAGGAAAAGAAGTGAATGTCTCAGTGCAAAATATATAAAAAACCATGAGACATAAGCAAAGCAATTTTTTTTGGTACTGGCCATGGTCTTTGCTTTCATTCTGCTCAGTAGGTTTCTTAAGGATATTTGATTTGCTTGCTGGCCGTCATATGCAAGTGAAAATCACAATGAGATTTCAATGACAAGTGGACCCTTTATGTGTTTTCTGTTCTTGTGTGGGCAGGTAAGGCTGAAATTAATTTAGTAGGATGGAAAATGGCAGGAAACCTCTGTCAGTGTAGCGAGTCATAACCTGAGTATGAGCCAATAATATCACACAGTTGTGAAAATG